AGTGCAGCGTCGCCTGTGAGCTGGAATTTAACGTGTTTCTTACACAGCCGGTGTGGACGGAAATGTTTTTTTTAAAATAGAACTGAATTCTTGAATTCGAACTTAGGGTGCTGTAGAGTTGCTTTCATGGTTCGTTCTGAATATACAGGTGCATTTTAGTTGTTTTTTCATTGGTGGGAGTTCAGAAGAAGCACCTTTTCCTTACCATGGAAATTCGGTGTGCAAAAATATTGTATTTAAGTGTATTGTCTTATCATAATGGTGCATTTATGCTTTGTATATCATTTATAAATATAATGTGGTTCATAATGGTCTCTTTTGTGCACATTCACCTACCCCCCCCCCAAGTTGGAGAACTTTGGTATGCCGTTCAGCCGTACAGACGATGGAAAAATCTACCAGCGTGCATTTGGAGGCCAGAGTCTGAAGTACGGAAAAGGAGGCCAGGCTCACAGGTGCTGCTGCGTGGCCGACAGGACGGGTCACTCCCTTCTGCACACGCTCTACGGACGGGTGTGTGTCACAGTACCTACTGAAACCATTTAAACCTGTTATTCTTTGGGGAAATAAAGTTTATATTCTGAACATTGTTTGCTGTCAGGGTTCAGGCTTAACTGTAGATTCTCACTGTTGTGTGACAGTCTCTGAGGTATGACACGAGCTATTTTGTGGAGTATTTTGCCCTGGACCTGTTGATGGAGGAAGGAAAATGCGTCGGAGTCGTAGCCTTGTGCATGGAAGATGGTTCTATTCACCGCTTCAGGGCCAAAAACACAGTAATTGCGACGGGGTAAGAAAAAAATTGCCTGTACAGTTTGTTTTTTGTGACTGTGCCAGTTTCCCTTTTATTTATGTACAATCTAAGGTTGTTTTCACAGTTGTGTTTCTTTCCGGGACACACGAGCTGCTTGAACCTGGAGTTAGGTGCTAGGTTTGAGCAGTGGAGCGGTCCAGATAACCAATCCCTGGTCCTCTTGAAAATGGTAGGCTGAGGTTCGCTTCAGGTGGATGTCTTCTGCTCGGTGTTACTGCTGTGATTTACGGCATGCCGAAGCAATGCGATTGTTTCAACTTGTAACGCCATTTCCTGTTTCTGCTTCCGTGGTGCAGGGGAAAGGATTGTTATTCTTTTATCAAGACAGACTTTCAGGGCCGCATTGCTGTAATTGACTCATCTTTGTGGTGCGAGTATTTGCACTGAGAGTGTCATGGAAACCACACGTCTCCTGCCAGCCTGCTTGGCTAAAAATGTTCTTGTAGAACGGCTCCTCGTTTCCTGCAAAGATGACATGTCACGGATCCAAACCGCGCTCTTCCTCACTTTAGTGGTGGTGTTCACCATTTTGCCCAAAAAGCTCAGGCTCAGGCCTAGGTGTGGACTCGGGTATACGGACCAAGTGTGAAAACGCCTTTGGTTTGCAAACCTGTGAATGTCAACAGGAAAAAAAAAACAGCAGTTAATTTCTAGCTGCATTAACAGTCATCTACCTGATTCGATGTGAAATGACACGTACGATGTGCAGTTAATTTGTTAGGTTACAGGTTGCGCTTTCTAGAATGGACTGCGTTTTTCAAAAAAATCCAGAAAAACGCATGTAAAAAATGTTCTAAATTGATTTGCATTTTAATGAGGGAAATATGTATTTGACCCCTCTGCAAAACATGACTTAGTACTTGTTGGCAATCACAGAGGTCAGACGTTTCTTGTAGTTGGCCACCAAGTTTGCACACATCTCAGGAGGGATTTTGACCCACTCCTCTTTGTAGATCTTCTCCAAGTCATTAATGTTTTGAGGCTGACGTTTGGCAACTCGAACCTTCAGCTCCCTCCACAGATTTTCTATGGGATTACGGTCTGGAGACTAACTAGGCCACTCCAGGACCTTAATGTGCTTCTTCTTGAGCCACTCCTTTGTTGCCTTGGCCGTGTGTTTTGGGTCGTTGTCATGCTGGAATACACATCCACATCCCATTTTCAATGCCCTGGCTGAGGGAAGGAGGTTCTCACCCAAGATTTGACGGTACATCCCCCCGTCCATTGTCCCTTTGATGCGGTGAAGTTGTCCTGTCCCCTTAGCAGAAAAACACCCCCAAAGCATAATGTTTCCACCTCCATGTTTGACGGTGGGGATGGTGTTCTTGGGGTCATAGGCAGCATTCTTCCTCCTCCAAACACGGCGAGTTGAGCCGATGCCAAAGAGCTCTCTGACCACAACACTTTCACCCAGTTGTCCTCTGAATCATTCAGATGTTCATTGGTAAACTTCAGACAGGCATGTATATGAGCTTTCTTGAGCAGGGGGATCTTGCGGGCGCTGCAGGATTTCAGTCCTTCACGGCATAGTGTGTTACCAATTGTTTTCTTGGTGACTATGGTCCCAGCTGCCTTGAGATCATTGACAAGATCCTCCCATCTAGTTCTGGGCTGATTCCTCATTGTTCTCATGATCATTGCAACTCCACGAGGTGAGATCTTGCATGGAGCCCCAGGCCGAGGGAGATTGACTTCCATTTGCGAATAATCGCACCAACTGTTGTCACCTTCTCACCAAGCTGCTTGGCAATGGTCTTGTAGCCCATTCCACACTTGTGTAGGTCTACAATCTTGTCCCTGACATCCTTGGAGAGCTCTTTGGTCTTGGCCATGGTGAAGTGTTTGGAATCTGATTGATTGATTGCTTCTGTGGACAGGTGTCTTTTATACAGGTAACAAGCTGACATTAGGAGCACTCCCTTTAAGAGTGTGCTCCTAATCTCAGCTCGTTACCTGTATAAAAGACACCTGGGAGCCAGAAATCTTTCTGATTGAGAGGGGGTCAAATACTTATTTCCCTCATTAAGATGCAAATCAATTTATTTACTGGATTCTCAGCGGATCAAAAGTGCAAATCTAACAAAAAAGCAGATGGTGTTAATCTAGTAATAAGAAATGTTCTGATTAGTTAATGTGTAACTAGCTAGCCAATAAAATGTACACCCTGTGCACATGCATTCTAAATTGATTGATTTGATTTCTTTTTCTAACAGTCTTCACACAGCTAGGGAGTGACCAAGTGGAAGGACAATCTTTCATTTTCTGTGTGTGTGTGTGTATGTGTGTGTGTGTGTGTGTGTGTGTGTGTGTGTGTGTGTGTGTGTGTGTGACAATTTGAGTGACAACAAAACAGCAGCACAAGTTGAGATTTTCTCAATTCTATGCAAATTAGGAAAGCGACAAATCCAAACGATTGGCCAGAAAGGTTCCTAAGCGGTCCACACGGACCAATCCTAAGCTACGTGTGGTCCGATGTTTCTTCAGTAACTCGCTCACAACTTTACTTTCTACCTACAGTTACTTCCCTTTTACTGTTTGATGCACAAATGTGGAAGGAAAACATTAGTTTTGTTTCATCCTCTTACTATACGACCTGTCATTAAATGTATCTAGATATGTTTCAAAGACAAATAAAGCATGGAAGGAAGTTGCAGAGATAGATCGTTGGTGTTGGATAACCTTTTTTCCCACAGATTAGTGCTTGTTTTAACCTGTGATTTAGAATACACTTTAAACAACAGTAAATTATATACTGTAGCAAATTGTATGCTATCATTTGGGCTACTACATTTATCTTTTTTGTAGTTGTGTTTTTGGTTTTTTTTTTGTTTTTTTTTACAATATTTTGTGTTTTACATTCTTTACAAAAGCAAAACTACAAGCGACATGGCCGAAGTGTGATTACAACATGTGATTAGTGTCGTGAATATATTCAGGTAGCCAGGCCGAGTGGTTTTCCTTTACCATACTATGCACTGTTTGCTACTGAGCCTGTTAAGAAGTTAGCTGGATTCTGCTCATTTGCAAACATTGCAGTACAGTGAGTGGAGTCGGATCCATTCCTCCTTCATTCTCACTGTTTGATCAGGTTCTCCTCAGCACTACCTGCTCATCCCCTGCTGTCAGACAGACTAGCAGGCCTGTGGCTACATACCGATAGCATGGTTGATTGATTTTCTGGGGCTGGATTTGGTTTTTCCCTCCACAGAAAGGATGCTTTGTTCTTTTGATTGGTTAACATAAGCCATACTGTCTGACTTTTGCTCATGCAGCCAGCGTGGAGGTGTTGGAGGCTTTGTGCTTTCAGGTTGTCTGGGCTGAGAATCTATCTGAGATTCTCGTTAGCGCGATATCTCCAGATCAAGTCCTAGAATGCTTGTTGGCAGTCTACATCATTGGCATTAAGGCCTACTTGTTTAATCATGTTTTTCATCCATGTGTGGTTATATACACTGACAATACATGTCTCCACAGTGGTTATGGTCGCACCTATTTCAGCTGCACATCAGCACACACTAGTACAGGAGATGGTACTGCCATGGTAACCCGTGCCGGCCTGCCATGCCAGGATCTGGAGTTCGTTCAGTTTCACCCCACAGGTCGGAATCATATTTTTTATTATGAATAAGAGTAAATTCTTTTTTTAAAGGGTAATGTCATAAATTAGTGTGTACCTCTTAATGAAAATGTCTTGTGTTCTAATATGAAGTTTATGCTTCTGTTTTATTATCTCTAATCTAATTCAATAAAGCAACCAGGGATTATATTGGTTGTAGGCTGATGCTGGTTAGATCTGTTTCCTCTTTAGTTTAGAGGATGCAGCGTCCATGGTTTCCAAAAAGGGGGGGGTATTGATGCATCCTTAGTACTTTAATATGGTTTCTTAATATACATTTCCAAATCTTGTTTGTCTTACAACCTGAAACTGAAATGTACAAGTTTGGAATTTCTAACATTTGATGGTGGAAACTATTTTTTTATTAGGTTAATTAGGCTAAAAAAAATGTCTACTGGGTGATTCTACACCGTGTTCAATGAGCATTTTGAGCTGCAGGTCTTTTGTGATACAGAATGTCTGGATCAGGATTGCACTTTTCTGGATCCTGAATACTTATGCGATCACAAATGTCCTGTTTTATTTGTAAATAATTTTTGCATTACCTTATACATATATGATCCCCAGGGGGGCACGGTGGCTTAGCGGTTAACAAGTTTGCCTAGTATCTTCAGGGTTAGGGGTTCGATTCCCGCCTCTGCCCTGTGTGCACGGAGTTTGTTCTCCCTGTGCTTCAGGGGTTTCCTCTGGGTACTCCGGTTTCCTCCGGAATTCAAAGACATGTGTTGTAGGCTGACATCTCTAAATCTTTCCTTTGTGTATGAGATTGTGCCTTGTGATGGGTTGGCGCCCCATCCAGGGTGTCCCTAGTACCCTGGGATGGTCTTCAGGCTCTGTGTAGGATAAGCGTAACAGACGATGGATGTGCAGATGGATGGAAAGATATTATCCCCCATTCCCTCCCTCTCAGTTCAGTTGTTCAGTATAGTTAGGGATGCTTATGCAAGGCACTGGATGAAGTGTTTTATAATGTTGTTGCATACTGTACTTCTCCAACTCCGCTCGTTCTTTATAAAGTAACCTTTTGGGTTTTGCGTTAACCTAATCGAGAGAACTGAGAGGCTGCGTGGTGCATGCGTAAGGCCACAAAAATTATTTACAGCCACTTGACCGTTGTTTTTTTCTTTCTAGGCATCTATGGAGCTGGTTGTCTGATCACAGAGGGTTGTCGTGGTGAAGGTGGAATCCTGATTAACAGTGAAGGTGAGAGGTTTATGGAACGCTATGCTCCAAATGCTAAAGACTTGGCCTCCAGGGATGTGGTTTCACGCTCCATGACAATCGAAATCCGTGAGGGAAGGTATGGTTCTTCCTAGACACACACATATACACACACACACACACACACACGCATTCTAGCTGTGTGTACAGAAGGGGTGATAAAACAAGACCGATAAAGTCAAGGAGTCATTATTATGAAGTCATGTTATTCCTAATAAAGTTCATGCTGAGTGGATGTCTAATGAAATATTACACGGTATTTTCCTTGCTCAGGGGTGTAGGACCAGAGAAAGACCACGTCTACCTACAGCTCCACCACCTCCCACCTCAGCAGCTGGCTTACCGTCTGCCGGGAATCTCTGAAACCGCCATGATATTTGCTGGAGTGGACGTCACAAAAGAACCTATCCCAGTCTTACCCACAGTGCACTACAACATGGGAGGCATCCCAACCAACTACAAGGGACAGGTTCCTGTATTACTTATACTATATTATTATAGTATATGTGGAGCTATGTCACTTCATTTTGATTAACAATGAAAAAACACTGCTGGAAATACTGGAGCAGGTTAAAATAGAAAAAAACCTCATCTAAAGTGTGTGAACTCTTTACTTTACACTAAACAGCTGGCTTTGTATATCATTAGTTTGTGGTGAGTGTGAGAAACAGCTCGTGCTTATTAACTGTCGTGTGTTCTTTTGAGTCCTTTTATTCTAACTGTCACACGTTTATGGTCCTATTTATCGCTCTTTGCTGCTCTATTAGAAATTATCTCATGATAATTTGACCAAAGATTCTGTGCTTTGTTCGTCACCTGGATGGGAAGAAAATGACCCTGAATAATCACGAATTAATTATTTAGTCTACGAGATGAAAAATTTCTCTCTTCAAAACACAACTTGTGTCATGAACGTGTGCGTTATGTATTCTATGTGTTGTGCAGCGAGTATTGAAGCGAATAGATGAACTGTGCTTTCGACTCAGTAATGCTGATCAACAATACATTGTTTCATTTTCTTGTCATACACAATATATTTTTTTTAATCACAGTTGTGTGTCAAGTCACCAAGTCTCCTGCTCTTGGTTCACATCGAAATCGCTCCAAAAATGAGTCGATTGACCGATTCCAGGCAATGAAATGTACGAGCCTGGTTCCTCAGGGTTTTCTCCTCATGTCATCTCAGGGAGTTTTTCTTTGCAGCAGTCACCTCTGACTTGCTCATTAGGGATAAATGTATATATTTACATTTTATTTCCGGATTTCTGTAAAACTCCATTGCCACAATGTCCATTTCAGTTAGCGAGACAGCCAGCAGATATTTATCTTGCCTTTATATTGAATTTTTCTGGTCCAACAATTCAATACAAAATGTATGGAATATCATCGTCTTGCTTTAGCATGAGCATCTCATTTGCTCAACGTAAGCACTTGGTAATATTCTTACACCATGACAATAATGATACATGAAATTTTGTTTTCTGCATAGGTCATCACCCACAAGGATGGTGAGGATAGGGTAGTGCCAGGGTTGTATGCCTGTGGTGAAGCTGGCTGTGCTTCTGTACATGGTGCCAATCGTCTGGGAGCCAACTCTCTGCTGGATCTTGTGGTGTTTGGCCGCGCATGTGCTCTCACCATTGCCGAAACCAACACTCCAGGTTGGCAGGAACATTTTAGACATGTTCACAATCCTGTAGTATTACAATAATACCGTAAGCAGAGTATTTAGGTTTTATGGGTGGAAAGGAAGACTGTGATTATACCTTTTTGAACCATTTTAGCTAGAGGTGCACCAATACTAAATTTCTCAGCCGATACCGATAACCGATTATTCAGAGTGCTGATAGTTCTGTCTTTTATGCCTTCTTTTAAATTAATAATAATTAATTCCACAATTCCGAAAGATTTGCAAATAAAAACATTATTCTTTCATCAAGTTGTTTCACAGTAACTGGTCTCATAAACAGAAAACACATTACTCACATTAACACTTGAACTAAATTCTGAAGATTAAGATTTCTTAACTTATTGAATGTTATTAATTCATATTAACAGAATTAATTGACTGAATTCTAAAAAACCTCCTGTTAGACTTCACATTTACTCACCACAAACAAAAGCATTTCTACTTCATTAACATCAAACTTTACAAATATATTTTTCTGTGATTATATAAAATTACTTTTTTTTTGTCAACTCATCTTCATTTAAATCTTTCAACAGTGTACTGGCCCTTTAATTCAGCTCGAGCAGTGCAGGCGAAATAAAAAACAAAAAAATTTAACTATTGGCTGATGGACCATTGCATAAAAAAACTGCCTTTATTCACTGGTGCATCTCTAATCTTAACCATTCACATTCTGAAAAGGTAACTTCCCTATGTATCTCACATCAGGAGAGGTGGGCTTCTACAGGGTGTTTAAAATGCACACTTTGGCTGATGTAAAGAAATCACTGCAGCGATTGTGACATTCATAGTGGAGGACCCAGGATTATAAAAACTCGTTTGAGCTATAAAGAATTCGGACACGCCAGCATGGTTGCAGTTTGTACACCAAATTGGGCTGTTTACGAAACAAGAAATCAGAAATGTCTGTGCAAAACGGTGATGGAAACAAGATGGTGCTATCCTACAGCAGCACGTTTGGCTGATTAGATAACTACCTGAATGCTTAGGTGTACAGGTGTTCCTAAAAAAAAAATGCTCAGTAAGTGTATGTAAAACCTGTGGTTTTTACTGTTTTCATAGCATGAAAATTTTGTACCATTCCACCCTGAGGTTAACAGATGAAAATATTGGTTATCGGTTATCTATCAGAGGAACTGTCTAAGGAACTGTCTGTTCTTATTTTGCTGAAACAGGGGAGAAGCTTGAACCCCTGAAGCCTAATGCAGGAGAGGAATCTGTCGCTAACCTGGATAAACTACGCTTTGCTAATGGCTCTACAAGAACTTCCGAGATCAGGCTTAACATGCAGAAGGTACTAAATAATACAGTCGTTTCATGTGTATTCTTTTTGAAGGTAGTAAGTTCACTTCTGGGGGGGAAAAACATGGTGTAAAATCCTAATTTTCAAGAAGCGTTTGAAATTCAGAAAAGGGAATGTGTACCACAGACAGACATTGTTGCTTTCTTAAGCAAATTTAGTTTTAACCATAAACTTGAATATTTTAGATTCACTGTTATTTATTTATTAACCAACCCATGGTTATGATTCTTACATTTTAAGATTCGTACACGCCAGCTAAAAATATACTGTTTTTAACTCTTCACCAACACAGCTGGAATTCCTAACAGCTTCCCAGTCAGTGTATATTTCCTCACTGCATACAGGATGGGGTTAGGACATTGTAGGAGCTGTGTAGTGCAGTAGGTACATAGTAGAATATCATTTGAGATTCAGCCACAAAAAAAATAACTACTTAACACAGGTTTTCCATGGTTATGTGTCTGAGCAAAGTTAGATGCTTCTCATTAAGAATGGATTTTCACTGGAGTTCTCTTTCACTCTTTACTTTGTTCACTATATTTGTAAAAAAAAAACAAATGCATATAAACTCTGACACAAAAAGGGGAGTTAGAATGCAATGTATTCACAGTGATTTGCAGTTCAAGAGACTGAAACAACATGGAGGATATAGGTATTGCTATATTTGACAGACAATCTAATGGCACCTGAAGTCTCAACAAGCTGGTGCACTGATAACCCCAGTAAGGGTCAGAATAACAGGGGCTCCCAAACTGTTTGGGCAAACAACCCCAAGTGGACTCCAAGCCTTGATCACTCTACTTTTTAAAAATAAATTATTCCAGATGTATAATTTAGGACTGTAGTAATATTTGAACATTTTATTATATGCCATGTCACATGTTGCTCTCTCAGGTTTGAGAAACACAAAGTTTCGCCTTTAATTTGGAGGGATAAAAAGCCTCACTTTTATAAAAATTCACCCGTTGATGTATTTTTAATGTTAGTGAGTGACTTCAACTAGATGGTTAAGAAGATAATCATTTTACTGCACACACTACCTCCTTCCTCTATCAGGGCTCTGTATCTGTATCTACCTGGAAATGGATAGTAATAAAAAGCCGAGAGATAAATGAATATGGAGTTAATGTAAGCAGTAGAAACTGACCAATTGATCGGTTTTGCCATTTAATAGTCACCGATACCTTATTGCAGGAACTATCATGTTATCGGGGGGAAAATATTACATTACAGCATTATCATATTTGCAAAACTGCAAAAATCCACACCGATAGTTTTACCCAGTTTCGTCCATCACGGGCGCGGCTGAGAAGGGTTTCTAGAAGCGAAATAAAAACCATCACTGACAAATTTTTTTGTTATTTCAAGTGTTTATTTTGTTATTTTCTTTATATTTATATTATTTATTTATACAGACATTTCTATTTTT